CTAGGCAGGTAGGCAAGAGAACGTCAGGACTATAGCTCATCTCTCGACTCGAAAGAAGAGTAATACGCTCTTCCACGCTTATTTTTACGTAGAAGCGGGTTTTTCCCACGAAAACCCTGCCACCTCGCCACGTAAATCCGCTATACCAGTGTTCCCGGACCTTCCGGAGACATAGTAAATGTACTTGGTATTTCTGGCGAAAACCTCATCTGAGACGAGTATTTTCAGGGATGCATAAAAACCCGCGGAGTCGGTTCCTCTAATTGAATTCATAGATCATTCCTGAGAAAGTGGAAGCCAGCCACGACGAATGCTTCAGATTATTTCAATGTTCTCCCCTTCAGGTCCATAGAGTCGCTTGGGAGTAGCATCATAGGCTTATCGAATCTGCCCAGACAAATCAGGGCAAACCCTTGTTGAAAATAGTGTTGCTGTCACTGACCTTATTTGGTCATAAAACAAGATGGCTTCCTTAAATTGGCGTATGTCAAGGAAGTGTTTGCCAGATTATAGTACTGGTGATCCTGACCAGGTTATAGCGTGAGAGCTGAGGTAATCGCGTCTCCCTCGTTGAAATGCCAAGCGCGGTCGCTTTTACGAATTGGCGACGGTTACAATAGATCATGCTGTCAATAACAACGCCACTGTGGTAAATATCTCTCCCGTACGCGATTGAACTGTCGTAGTCTTCTATCGCTTTAGTATGCTCTTGCAACTCCGCATGAGCGTTTCCTCTATGAAAGTAAGCTATGAAAAACGTTGAGTCTATTGATATAACCTGTTGTAAGATTCAACCGCAAGCCGATAGTGGCCCGACTGGTATGCCGATTGGCGGCGGTCAGATAGTCGTCTGACTGAGGGAGACAGGGTCAGCGACCCGGTTAGAACCGGCGAAGCCGTGCAAATCGAAAAATAGTGACTTCCGGTTTACGTCAAGCAACCCAAGCTCTCTAACGAGTTCGGCCTTTTCACTGCCAGAGACATTGATTTCCGCGATAATGTTAGCGTCCTCAGGCATGAGCGGCTTACCGATTATAAACACGCTGCGTTGCCTAGGATTCTGGCCGCTGCTTCACCACTAGAAACGTGGCCGGAAACCCCGATTCTCTCCGAGCGGTCATTTTCTCAACGTCGTTTGTCGATGGTTTGTTGGTTTTCTGAGACGTTTATTATACGCCACTATGCCCTATAAGACCGTAAACCGTCTCCGTTTATCAGCAGGAAACGGGGCCAATGGCTTTCCGGCCAACTAGTCCGGCTGGCTATAGTAGCGATACTGGCTGCCCTGCCACTGACGACATGTGGCGCAGGCGAGCCTCCCCTTGTTTTGATGCCACTGCTAAACCTTAATGTGCGCCGCGCCGGTGTGGTTTCGAGATAACCGGCACTCGTATGCCACAGCGACAGGGAGTTGGCTCGACTACATGTCAGAGCGGGTGGCAGCTTCAGGATGACGTGCGGAAACCCTCGTGTCCAGTTAGTTACTACTTTCATGATGAGGCGTCCCAAGCCTTCCAGACGTCGGCTGTGATCTGGCTTTGTGTCCAGCGTACTTGAACTGGCGCGCGGCTCAAGCACTCCCTCTACACGATAGTGACGCGAGGGCTCCGGTCGCCAGGTCCGCGATGGTCCTCATGCCCGCCGGCCCACCTTGCTCCTCCGGCCGTAGTGCCCGCCGGCCCCGACGCTGCGCACCAGGTCCCGCCGTCCCCAGGGCCCCTCAGAGATACTGCCTGCGTGTAGCCGCTCAATAAAGCGGCTTCCCCTTGTCGCCCACGGGATACATCCGGCAGACCGTGTCCCAGCGGTGTTTGACGGCGCGCACGGGCCGCGCTGGGCCCCGAGGGCCCTCAGGGTCCCCAAGGGCACTGCGCGCTGCGGAACCGCTCCCAGAGACACTATGTGGTGTCGTCAATATAGTTTGGTCCAGAGTACCAGAGCTCGAATCTGGCATATTGCCAAGAATGAGTCGGACCTCTTCGCATAGCGAGTTGCCACGGCCCGCCATTGCTTGAAGTTCAAGAATGCATTCTCCACCAAATGGCGCAGCCGATATATTTGACGGTCGTAATAGCGGGGTTCTTTCCGGTGACGCCTCGGCGGTATTACCGGTTCCATCCCCTGAGCCTCGGCTTGGGCCACAATGGCATCGGTGTCGTAGCCTCGGTCAGCCAGCAAGTATTGGGCTGCGATATCTGCAATCAGGTCAGAGGCCTGGGTGCAGTCCGCCACCGTACCTTCGGTCAGGATCATTCGTACCGGCATCCCGTGGGAATCCACCGCCAGGTGCAGTTTGCTGTTTAGCCCCCTTTTGTACGGCCTACATCTTGATTGCCCCCACGGGCACCAGTCCCATGGGGATGAACCTTGATGTGGGTAGCGTCGATCATCAACCACTCAAAGTCCGGGTCATCGATGACCCGGTCCAGCAGTTGCTCCCAAACGCCGCGGTCCCGCCAGCGACAAAAGCGGCGATGGGTGTTCTTCCAGTCCCCATAGTCCGGCGGCAGGTCCCGCCACGGTGCCCCAGTCCGCAGATTCCAAAACACCGCGTTCAAAAACAACCGGTTGTCCTTGGCCGGCCGCCCTCTTTTCCCTGCGCCGCCAGGCAAATGAGGTCTCAAAAGTTCCCAAACCTGGTCCGAAATATCGTGACGCCGATGCGACGGTGTCATACATCCACCCCCCACGCTCACATTCTCAGCAGAAATCTACCATCAAGTTGCTATTTTGACGACACCCCTTAGTATGCTCTTGCAACTCCGCATGAGCGTTTCCTCTATGAAAGTAAGCTATGAAAAAACGTTGAGTCTATTGATATAAACCTGTTGTAAGATTCAACCGCAAGCCGATAGTGGCCCGACTGGTAATGCCGATTGGCGGCGGTCAGATAGTCGTCTTGACTGAGGGAGACAGGGTCAGCGACCCGGTTAGAACCGGCGAAGCCGTGCAAATCGAAAAATAGTGACTTCCGGTTTACGTCAAGCAACCCAAGCTCTCTAACGAGTTCGGCCTTTTCACTGCCAGAGACATTGATTTCCGCGATAATGTTAGCGTCCTCAGGCATGAGCGGCTTACCGATTATAAACACGCTGCGTTGCCTAAGGATTCTGGCCGCTGCTTCACCACTAGTGTCCTGTATCCAAAGTACGTTGGCAAAAGCGGGCAACGTTGGCCAGTATTTGGTCGGCGGTCTGGGTCCAGACAAAAGGTTGGGGATCTTCGTTGGTGACGTCCAGATAGCGGTAGATGGCAGCCTCCAGTTCGGCGCTGCTCTGATGCACGCCCGGCGCAACTGCTTTCGGTGAGCAGACCGAACCAGCGCTCCACCAGGTTCAGCCAGGAGGCGCTGGTGGGTGTGAAGTGCATATAGAAGCGGGGCCGCTGGCCAGCCAGTTGCGGATCAGCGCCGTCTTGTGGGTGGCGTAGTTGTCCGCGATCAGGTGGACGTCGAGGTCGGCGGGCACCTCGGCCTCGATGGTATCGAGGAATTTGCGGAACTCCACGGCCCGGTGCCGTTGGTGGCAACGACCATCACCTTGCCGGTCCTGGTGTCCAAGGCGGCGAACAGCGAAGTGGTGCCGTGACGCAGGTAATCCACGTAATCATGGGTGCGCCGTTCACCTGTCCCGGGCGGCATGGGCATAGCGGACGGGTGCGATCCAACGCCTGGATCTGGGAATTCTCGTCCACGCACAGGACCAACGCCCGATCCGGTGGATTCAGGTATAGCCCACAACGTCCCTGACCTTCTCGATGAAGAAGGGGTCTGCCGACAGCTTGAAGGTCTCCGTGCGGTGGGGCTGCAATCCGAAGGCCCGCCAGATGCGGCTGACCGTGTTGTGGCTCAGCCCGCTGCGCTGGGCCATGGACCGGGTGCTCCAGTGGGGTCGCGTCCTTGGGGGTGGTCTCCAGCGTCAGCGTAATCACACGCTCCACGTGGTCATCGGTAACCGCTCGAGGCCGTCCGCTGCGCGGTTCGTCCGACAGTCCGTCCAGCCTCCGTTCCAGGAACCGGGAACGCCACTTCCCACCGTCTCATCGGACACTCCCAGGTCGGCGCCCACAGTGGTATTGCTGCGGCCTTCGGCACAGCCCAAATCATTCTGCCCGCAGCGCCAAAGCTTGCGCCGTTTTCGGACGGCGAACCCACCGTACCAGGGTTCCACGCTCCACCTCATCCAAAATTACGGCGGCATTGGTCGTCCGATTGCCATGGTCATCCTCCTCTGGATTGCTAACCGGAGGATACCTCATCGTGAATACTATTACACTCACTTCATTAACCACACTAGAACGTGGCCGGAAACCCCGATTCTCTCCGAGCGGGTCATTTTCTCAACGTCGTTTGTCGATGGTTTGTTGGTTTTCTGAGACGTATATTACGCCACTATGCCCTATAAGACCGTAAACCGTCTCCGTTTATCAGCAGGAAACGGGGCCAATGGCTTTCCGGCCAGACTTCTAGTGTGGTGTAACTGAAGTCAGTTGTAATAGTATTCACGATGAGGTATCCTCCGGGTTAGCAATCCAGAGGAGGATGACCATGGCAATCGGACGACCAATGCCGCCGGTAAGTTTGGATGAGGTGGAGCGTGAAGCCCTGGTACGGTGGGTTCGCCGTCCGAAAACGGCGCAAGCTTTGGCGCTGCGGGCCAGAATGATTCTGGGCTGTGCCGAAGGCCGCAGCAATACCACGGTGGGCGCCGACCTGGGAGTGTCCGATGAGACGGTGGGGAAGTGGCGTTCCCGGTTCCTGGAACGGAGGCTGGACGGACTGTCGGACGAACCGCGCAGCGGACGGCCTCGAGCGGTTACCGATGACCACGTGGAGCGTGTGATTACGCTGACGCTGGAGACCACCCCCAAGGACGCGACCCACTGGAGCACCCGGTCCATGGCCCAGCGCAGCGGGCTGAGCCACAACACGGTCAGCCGCATCTGGCGGGCCTTCGGATTGCAGCCCCACCGCACGGAGACCTTCAAGCTGTCGGCAGACCCCTTCTTCATCGAGAAGGTCAGGGACGTTGTGGGGCTATACCTCAACCCGCCGGATCGGGCGTTGGTCCTGTGCGTGGACGAGAAGTCCCAGATCCAGGCGTTGGATCGCACCCGTCCGCTATTGCCCATGCGCCCGGGACAGGTGGAACGGCGCACCCATGATTACGTGGATTACCTGCGTCACGGCACCACTTCGCTGTTCGCCGCCTTGGACACCAGGACCGGCAAGGTGATTGGTCGTTGCCACCAACGGCACCGGGCCGTGGAGTTCCGCAAATTCCTCGATACCATCGAGGCTCGAGGTGCCCGCCAACCTCGACGTCCACCTGATCGCGGACAACTACGCCACCCACAAGACGGCGCTGATCCGCAACTGGCTGGCCAAGCGGCCCCGTTTCCATATGCACTTCACACCCACCAGCGCCTCCTGGCTGAACCTGGTGGAGCGCTGGTTCGGTCTGCTCACCGAAAAGCAGTTGCGCCGGGGCGTGCATCAGAGCAGCGCCGAACTGGAGGCTGCCATCTACCGCTATCTGGACGTCACCAACGAAGATCCCAAACCTTTTGTCTGGACCCAGACCGCCGACCAAATACTGGCCAACGTTGCCCGCTTTTGCCAACGTACTTTGGATACAGGACACTAGGTACAGGCTCCCAATACCCTAGCTCGGTGAATACATCCTCTGGCGTGAACAATTCAGCGGTTCCCTGGTGGCTCTCATCGGCTGATACCAGTGCTACTTGGACAGGGCTGTTAGTGTTGACTATAAACAATTTCCCATCCTCGTCTGGATGTTCGCAAGCAAACCAAAGCCCGACGAGAGGGTCCCAACTGAAATCCAAAAGGCCGGTGGCAGCCCCTAGATGTTGCAACTTAGCAAGCAACTGTAGGTCTGATATCTCACGCCCAGAATCAATACCCAAGCCCTGCGCGCGTGCCGGGCCAATAAGCGTTCCCGCGTGATAGTCCAGATAAATGCTGAGAAACTGAGTACTGGACTGTATCCGACTCGCACGTTGCTTAATCAGCCTTCGGGTTGCTGCGGATTGGAGAGGCCAACAAGCTTTGCCCTGTCCTCTGTAGGCATACCTTCCCCAAGTCCCAATCTGTCCGTAGTATCTCTTATCTCACTCAGGTATTTGTCCAGTTTCATGGCGGCTCCTCGACCACTGGCTTCGTATGTTACGGGGCCGCAACCGGGTCGCAGACCGCCATTGAACTTCCTGCAAAAGGGAAGTTCCCGCCGTGCGCGGTGAGCCGCTCTCCGAAAGAAAAGGTCCCGAGGTTATCCCATCGGACTAATGTTTGGGGAAACCCGAAAAATGGTATAGGTGTCGTAGCTACAGTGTCAAACTGATGGTGGCTACACGGCAGGGCAATCGCAGACTCCTACAGTGCCGGCTGTCCTAGACCTCGATGGGGAAATAGTGGTTAACTGAACGGGTCCGAGGTTCCTGCCTTCGCAGGAACGACGGGTTTTGGGGTTGATCTCAGGGTCGGACGGGGCAGACACATAGGTCTGCCCCTAAGGAGAATATGCAGGGTAGGGTGGGCGCATGGCCATGCGCCCCTACGAGAGTTTTCACCCCCCATTCCTTCAGCAGGCTCGGGACAGGCTCTGACATTCCACCGTCAAGGGGGTCCCTGGACGGGTTCAGGATGAGCTGGATGCCGTTGGGACCCTATTCTTATATTTGCCCACCTATCATCCAGTCCGCCACCCTCTCTGCAATTGCTATTGCCGTGGTGTTGGTGTTGGCGCGGACTACGTTTGGCATTACCGAGGTGTCCGCCACCCAGAGGCCCTCGATGCCGCGCACCCGGCAGTGCTGGTCAGTCACCGCCATGGGATCATTGTCCGTGCCCATCTTGCAGGTGCCGGCCAGGTGCTGGGAGGTGGTGACGTTGCGGTTCAGCCAGTTGTCCAGCGCCTCTTCCGACTCCAGGTCCTCATAGGTCGGTGTTAAGGGCCCAGCCAAGATATTTTGGAAGGCTTCGTGCTTCAGCAGGTCGAAGCAGATTCGCACTGCTTCCCGCAACCGCTCCCGATCGGCAGCCTCCTCCAGGAAGCCGTAGTAGAGGTTGGGCTGATCGTGGGGGTCGGTCGAGGCAAGGGTCACCGTCCCCTTTCCGGCGGCCAGTTCCAGGATGCAGGACAGGCGCACACCCTCACCGGCCAGCGGGTCGCCGCCCAGGGGGAAAGAGAAGGACGACGGCATTATCTGAATGTCGTTACGGAGGCCGTAGCCGCCGGCAGTGTAGCGCAGGGCAGTCTGTATCCGCGGCGCCTCGGCGTCCTGGGGAAAGTCATCCCGTACCTGGAGACGCACCGGCGCCATGGGGTGGTCGCGGAAGTTCTGGCCCACCCCTGGGGAATCCAGCACGACGGGTATGCCCAGTGCCCGAAGGTGGTCGGCAGGGCCCACGCCGGAGAGCATCAATATCTGGGGGGACGCAATGGCGCCGCCGCTCAGCACTATTTCGTTCGCCTCTACCTGGAAAATTTCACCGCCGCTTTCCGCCTCCACGCCCACGGCCCTGTTGCCTTCGAAGAGGATACGGTGGACCACCACGTTGGCCCTGATAGTCAGGTGGAGGCGATGGCGGTTGGGGTTGATGTAGGTGAGGCCAGTGCTCATGCGGATGCCGTTGGGGTTGTTCATCGGGATTGGACCGACACCGCTGGACTCGGGATGGTTCAGGTCCGGGTCTTCAGGGTAGCCGGCATCCCGCGCGGCCTGGTAAAACGCCTGCTGGAAGGGCAGCCAGTCCTCCCTGGCAAAGCGCCGGACGGGTATGGGCCCGTCGCTGCCGTGGAAGTCATCATGGATGTCGGTGTCCGTCTCCAGCTTTCGCAGGTAAGGGAGCATCTTGATAAAGCTCCACTCGTCGTTGCCCATCTCGGCCCAGGAGTCGTAGTCCTCGGGCACTCCGCGCAGAATTACCTGCCCGTTGATGGCGCTGGTGCCGCCCACCACCTTGCCCCGGGGCACTGGCATGGGCTCATCCTGCTCGGGCCGTGCCTGGGCCTGGAAGGACCAGTTGTGGGGCGCGCCCGGAGTTGAAGCCGTTGCGCTGTAGCCGAACTTCAGGTCGTCGGGGTAGCTTTCGAAGTCCGGGTAGTCCGGCCCCGCCTCAAGCAGCAGCACCGAGCGGTTGGGGTCTTCGGACAGCCGACCCGCGACGACACAACCACCGGAACCGGCCCCAATTACGATTACGTCATATTTCATGCCAATTTCCCTCCCAATTCTTTACCCCATTCCTCATTAGAGAGCTTGCTGGGAGTATAGGCCAGGCATTGAGGGACTTCAATCAACAATTGTTCTACAGTTGTTCAAAGGATTTCGGCCCATTCAAGGCGGATTGAATGCCTCGTATTACGGGGGCAAACATTGTGGCTGCTCTGTCCCTTCGTCGAAACTGCCCAGAACAGAACGCTGCCTACTTACACCCCTACTTGCTTACACCCCCCACTTGCCAGACTGGAAAACCCCTCCTCACCATTGATTACACATGGGAAAGCGGGGGCAACCCAACAGCCCCACTAATCCTGTGACTGTTGACGTATTTACGGGCAAATGGCCAATATGAGCGGAAATGGATGGGAATGAATTTAAGTTCAAGTTTCTCTTCCGATCTCCCGGGGGAGCGGGCGCCGGGGGTGAGGGCCCTCCCCAGTTGCCGTTGCCGTCCCCGGTCTTGCTCTCCTGCCCCCTCTCGGGCCCCGGTTGAATTGGCAACAACATAAAGACATAATAGCCAGCGAAGAGACTCGAAATGACCCAAGCGAGGTATCCATGAAATACAACGTAGTTATCATCGGAGCCGGGTCGGCCGGCTGCGTGCTGGCCGCCCGCCTTTCGGAGGACCCCGACCGCACCGTGCTGCTGCTGGAGGCCGGGCCGGACTATCCCGACTTTGAGCAGTACCCCAACGATCTTAAGTACGGCTACAACCAGCTTGCCTCCGCCGTTGACGCTCCCCACAACTGGTCCTTCACCGCTGTGGCCACGCCGGAGCAGGGCAACACGATGCCGGTGCCCCGGGGAAGGGTGGTGGGCGGCTCCAGCGCCATCAACGGCCAGGTCCTGCTGCGGGGAGTTCCCGAGGACTACGATAACTGGGCCTCCTGGGGCAATGACGAGTGGTCTTTTATCAAGACCCTCCCCTACTTCCGCAAGCTGGAGACCGACACGGATATCCATGACGACTTTCACGGATTTGACGGCCCCATACCGGTGCGGCGCCACAAAGAGGAGACCTGGATGCCGGCGCAGGTGGCCTTCTATGCATCCTGCCGGGCCGAAGGATATCCGCATGACCCGGATATGAACCACCCTGACTCCGGCGGTGTTGGGCCCATTCCGATGAACAACCCGGATGGCATCCGCATGAGCACCTCCCTCACTTACCTCAATCCGGTACGGCACCGCCTGAACCTGACTGTCCGCTCCGGCGTTACGGCGCACCGCCTCATCTTTGAAGGCAATCGCGCAGTTGGCGTGGAGGTTGAGAGCGGCGGCGATGTCTTTGTGGTGGAAGGCGACGAGATCATATGCAGTGGCGGCGCCGTTGGCTCCCCGCAACTGTTGCTGCTTTCCGGAGTCGGGCCGGCGGACCATCTGGGGGAAATGGGAATCCGGCTCCACCATGAACTGCCCGGTGTTGGGCAAAACCTGCGCGACCATCCCAACGTGCGCGTGCCGGTACGGGTCAACGCCGACTTTCCGCTGGACCCGGAGGCGCCGCGGACCCAGTTGGCCCTGCGCTACACCGCCGCCGGTTCCGAAGACCGGAATGATATGCAGATTTTGCAGTCTTCCTTCTCCTCCCCAATGGGCGGCGATCCGCTGGAAGGAGAGGGCATCAGGTTCACCTGTATCCTGGAACTGGCGGTGGGCGCCGGCGAACTCAGGCTGGCTTCCGCCGATCCCTACGAGCAGCCCCTCCTGGACTACAACTACCTGGAGGAGCCATGGGACCGGGAAAGGCTGCGGGAAGGCGTCCGGCTTTGCCTCAAGCTGTTGGAAGGCGACCGTTACCGCGAATTCGTCGAGGAGTGCATCAGCCCCACCGATGAGGACCTGGCCTCCGACGATGCCCTGGACCAGTGGTTGCTGCGGAATGTCACCACCACCCAGCACATATCGGGGACCTGCAAGATGGGACTGGCAGAGGACAGCATGGCGGTGGTGGACCAGTACTGCCGGGTGCATGGCTTGGAAGGGCTACGCGTGGTGGACGTTTCGGTGCTCCCCGACTGCATCCGGGCCAACACCAACGCCACCACCATCATGATTGCCGAACGGGTAGCCGACTGGATGAGGCAGGGCTAAGAAACTATCTCAATAGTCCCTTCCCCCTTGATGGGCGAAGGCTGGGATGGAGGTGAAGCCTGGCGAAGCGTCACCGCTGGGCAGGAATGCGACTGGGGCCCCTGGTTTTGAGATAGTTCCTAATGCTTCATCCCGCTCCCTCTAATGGGAAACGGGGCCAACAACAAGAGAAGTACCCGCTCCGGTCATTGCGCGGAGCTGACTCTCCACACCGTCTAGTTTTATGTGCTACAGCCCCGGACTACCCGTTGTCTCTTCACACCAGCACCTTCAGCATGCTCGCGCTTACAAAACCTGCGGTCGTGGAGGAGTGAATAATTTCCTGCCAGGAGTTCTGGTCGCTATCCTTGGTGCCGGCGGTCAGGATCACGGTTTGAGCCGTGTTCCAGTTTTCCGTGGTGAAGGTAAGCGTAGTCGGGCTGGCGGTCAGGTGCCCCGAGGGACTGACGGTCAGTGAAACGGTTACATCCGCGTCGGGCTGGGAGTTCAGGACGACGGTGTAGCTGGCGGTACTCCCTTCAGCCACGGTGAGGCTGTGGCTGCTGAGCGTTGGCCACAGGGCATCGTCATCATCGGCCAGGGCAGAATTGTTGGTTACATCCTGAGCCGAGAACTGCCCAAGAGCATTCCCCGCGCCGTCCTCCAGGAGATCTGAAAGGTCGTCGGTAAATATATTGTCGTAGGCCACGGTCACGGTCTGCCCCTGGGTTACCGCAGTATCCAGGGTTAAAGTAAAGTCGGCGCCTGATACGGCTGCTCCTGTCGTGTGAAAACGGTGACCGTCCACAAAGACGTCCAACAAGACCTCCAGGTAAATGCTTTCGTCCACGCCGGCGAAAGAGGAGAGGGTACGCAGGTCTGACGAAACGTTCACGTCCTCAGTGAAAGTAATGGTGACACTGGCGCCGTCGCTGGAGGTCTCTGCGCCTTCAAACTGGGGGGTACCGCGTCCACCAGGTGCCCACTGGCAGTCACCGAGTCGTGGCTCAGATTGGTGGCGATGTCATCGGAGTCCTCAATGGTACTACCATTGAGAGTCAGGGTGTCCTCGCCGATAGCTATGCCGTCAGCGTCCTCATCGTTGGCCTGAACGCTATAGCAGAATTTCAACGTGCTCGTACCTGAGCCCCTGCTATAGGTTGCGTCTTTCTCGTCGGAACCTACGATCAGGGTAATGGCGAGAGTGCCTTCAACGTCAACAGCCCGGTCGAAAGTCAGTGATACTTCAATGGTCTCGCCAGCACCATAGACGTCGCCATTGGCCGGGGTGGAAGTGATAGCTGTTGTTGTTATGTAGGGGCGCCCGTCCACCTTGTGCCCGCTCTGGCTGGAGATGCCCGTAATGGTCGCCTTTACCTGGTTTTCCGTATCCAGTTCATACACGCGGAACGGCCCGTCAATTCCGTCGCTTTCCCGCGCTGTCAGGGCGACACCGTCACTGTCCACGTCGGTTGCCAGTACCGTGTAGGCGAAGACCAGGGTTTTGCTGCCTTCACCACTGCTGTAGGTAGCGTCCCGGCGGCTTTCGCTGTCTCCCAGTTCCAGCCTGATGGTGGGCCTGCCCAGCACTTCCACTTCCTTGTTGAAGGTCAAAGACACTTCAATGGTTTCGCCCAGCCGATGGGTCTCCCCCTCTGCCGGACTGGACGTGAAGGCAGCGCTCTCCACATAGGGAAGCCGGCCATCCACCTTGTGAGCGGACTGAACATCAAGACCCGGAATGAAATCGTTCACTACCCTTTCCGTGCCCGGTATTCGCACCGACCCGGTCCCGATAAACCCGGTCCGTTCGGGCACCTATATGCCGTCGGTGTCCACGTCGTCCTCCTCAATGTCATACCTGAAGGTAAGCGTATCGTTCTGCGACCCGGATGCGTACTTCACGTCTTCCTGCCTGCCATCGTCCGCTGTCCCTATCCACATCGGGATGTAGGGAAGACCCCGAGCCGCGACCGCCTGGTCGAACTGCAGGGCAATATCTATGTCGTCCCCATAGCGGTATGAAACCCCGTTGGAAGGGCTGGAGGACACGGAAATGCCGGTGATATATGGCCGCCCGTCTACTTTGTGGTCTGACTGGTTTTCGAGAGCATCGTAGTATGGGCTTACTGGGTGAGCATCATCCTGGTCCGTTACATCGCCGTCGGCTGCCAGGCCGTGTATCGTCCCTTCGCTGTCAACGTAACCCTGCTTGACGGTGATACCGTCCTGGTCGAAAGCACCTGCGGGTACATCGTACTTGAAGTAGAGGGTATCTGAGCCTGATCCATGGTCGTAAGTTGCATCGACCAGGGAGTCATCGCCTTCTCCCACCAGCAATTCGACAGCCGGCTCTCCATCCACTACTACATTTCGGTCGAATTGGACTTTTACTTCAATAGATTCTGCCGCCCGGTAATTGTCCCCGTGGCTTGTTTCGGAAGAGATGGTTGCATCCTTGACGTATGCCCGTCCAAAAATCTTATAGTCGTCACCGTAGGTCACACCCCGGTAATTGGTGTTTACGGCATCGTTTCCCAATTTGGTCACGATAGAACCCTCGCCACCATACTCGCTGTTGGGAATGCTGGTGCCGTTGATATCCAGATCGTCTCCCGACACGAAATAATCAAACAGCAATTCAGTGCTGAACGTTCCGATACCTGTATATGTGGCGGACCACCGGACTACATCATCGCCCTGTCCGATATCAAGGCCGAGAGTGATCTCTTCACCTTGTACTATGACTTCCTGGGTGAATCGCTGGGAAATGAGAATCCGGTCTCCAGTTTTGTATCCCTCTTGTCCGGACGAGGGTTTATAAACTACTCAGGTCCGGATTGCGCCGGGACCGTCGTCATCTTCAATTTCGATTTCGCAGGAACCGGCGCCGGTCCCGGTGGAGGAAGCGTTGTCTGCGCGAACCGTGAAGGTCTCATCCTCTTCGGAGTAGACGTCTTCAGTGGTGGAGAAGGTACGCCCCATCCTTCCTTCATCGGACTGGAAGCCGTTGCTTGCCTGTCCTTCGTGGTGCAAGGGGCTGTAATCCGACTCCTTGGCAGTGCCCTCCTCCGTGGACCAGTAGACTTTCATCGTTTCATGGTTGTCGAATGTGTCATTGAGTATATGCAACCTATAGGAGTCCCCCTCTAATACCGGGTCATCTTTGCAATCAATTGGCAGCCTGCTGGCGTAAGCGAACGCAGGTGGCGGGTCACTGGCTGTGATTAATGTGACAACTACGCCAGCGATTATGATCATCACAAGAATAGGCATACTTGCCCAGATTCTTTTTTTTGGCCAGCTTGTTCATGCTGATTCTCCTTCGGAATGCGGCTTACGGTCTTCACTGATTCAGGCTGCGCCTGGCCCGAACCGGACTGACATCCGGCGAGCGACCCGCTCTCTCCAAGCGTTTGCCCGGGGCAAACCAATAGCCCGAGAGGAGGACGGCCTTCGAGTATTTGCCTGCAGCTCTCCCACCCCACCAACCCGGGCTATCCCCATTGCGCCGCACTCTTCGTCCCCCTGACGGGCCATGCAATCCAGTGTACAGAGAGAGTATGAAGAATTAGTAATGAAAGTGGTGATATTTATAAAGAAAGTATGAGGATTCTCACGCGAGACTTCGGGACAACAGCCCCGATGTTCCTCTCGCGGTGAAGGGGGAAGTCAGTGGGCTGGACGGGACTGGGTTGGATAGAGGGTCTATACCGGGGAATTTGGTGGCGGGTGAACGGCAGGGCCGGCGAGGGCAGGAGGGAGGGGCGAACGGATAGAAATGATTACGACACCAACACAATGGCGGGCGCCCTTGCCTCTAAAGAAAGGCCCGCAAGTGACCCGAACTAAGCCCTATTCAAGCCCTGTTCATGAACCCGTTAATCTTCAACCAGAACCTTCACATGCCCCGCTACGAACCCTTCTGCCTCGGAGGTGTGGATTATTCCTGCCAGGCATTCCGATCATCCTCGTCGCTGGCCGCGGTCAGCGTTACTGTCTGCGCTGTTTCCCAGTTCTCAATGGTAAAGGTCAGTTCCGTCAAGTCCGCAGTAAGGTGGCCCCCGGGAGAGATAGTGTAGGACACCGTGACGTCTTCTTCCGGTTGGGAGTCCTGCGCGATGGTGTAGGTCGACGTGCCTCCTTCAGCCACGGTCAGGCTGTGCTCGCTGAGCACCGGCCATATCGCATCTTCGTTGGCCGCCGCCGTGGAGTTGTTGGTTACTGACTGGCCGGTAAAGTGACCCAGGGCATTGCCGGCTTTACCTGTCAGCAGGCCTGGGAGGTGTGAGTGAAGCTATTGTCGCAGGTTACCGTCACTACCTGCCCCTGGGATATGGGCGTGTCCAGGGCCAGGGTGAGATCTGTTCCTGAAATCTCCGCGCCTGACGTATGCATGCGGTGGTCGTCGGCAAGTATGTCCACCAGCATCTGAAGGTAAACACCCACATCCACACCCGCAGATGAAGTAAATATCAAAAATACGCGTACTACCAATTTCTTACTGCAGGCCAAACTTGCCAGCGGAAGGTCGCGGCACACGAGGAAAGGAATGCGTGTGAGGACTCCCAACACGTCAAGGTCCCGGGGGTAGAGTAGCGGCTTGGCTAGAGCCCGGGCCGCGGCCAGAATCGCATTTTGCCAGGCACAAGTTGACACGGGACAAGCTCACCGCCTTGCTACCCTTGGAGTGAATCCCGCTTTGAGGTTTCCTGTCCGGCCACCCGGCATTTGAAAAAGAGTGCAGCGAAGGGCTACACTTCACCCTGCGCAGGTACTATCTAAAGGCAAAGGGCGATAAGGGCTAACGGATATTGAACGCCGCCAAATACCGGGGGTTAACCGGATGAGCCAACTCCACGGCGCCACCGCCATTTCCTGGAGGGACTGGAGCGAGGAAGCCTTCGAGGCTGCGAGGTCCGAGGGAAAGACGGTGCTGCTCACCCTGGGGGCCACATGGTGCCACTGGTGCCATGTGATGGACGACACCTCCTATTCTGACGAACGGGTAATAGGACTGGTCAACTCGCGGTTCATTCCGGTGCGGGTTGACGTCGACCAGCGACCTGACATTTCTCTGCGGTTTAACCAGGGTGGATTTCCGTCTGTAGCCTTTCTGACGGGGGATGGCGAATTCCTCACCGGTCGGCCCTACACGCCTCCCGACGAATTTGCGGCCCTGCTGGAGCAAGTATCCAGCGGCGAAGTTTCACCGGAAAGTCGATACACTTCACACGCCACTGCATCACCTGGGAGTAGCCGTGCCGACGCTTCCGCCGACGCCTCCGCCGATTCGGTAATGGACCGGCTGACGGAGCTATACGACGAGCAATTCGGCGGCTTCGGACTGGAACCCAAACAGCCCCCATGGGAGGCATTGCAGTTCCTTTCCGCCCGTTATGGCCTCACCGGCGAGCGGGCCATCCTGCGAATGGTCGACACCACCCTGCAGGGAATGTGGCAGGGCATCTACGACCGGAAAGACCAGGGGTTCTTCCGTTACTCGGTCAGCCGGGACTGGAAGGTGCCCGCACTACGAAAAGATGCTGGTCAGCAACGCCAGCCTGGCCGTAACCTATCTGGAAGCATTTCAGATTACCCGGAGAAGGGCCTACAGGGAGGCCACTGACGGCATCCTGCGCTACCTGCTGACCACCCTGTACAGTCCCGGAGAGGGGTTGTTCTTCGCCAGCCAGGACGCCGACGAACCTTACTACCAGCGGTCATGGAAGGACCGCGAAGCATCGACGCAACCGCCCATTGACCGCACTTTCTATTCCGGCTGGAATGCCCTGGCCGCCAACACCCTGTTGCGAGCAGCAGATGCGCTGAATAACCCGGAATACCGGCGGATTGGTTCCGGAAATTCTGGAAAGGCTGTGGGCGGAAAGCTGGGACCCTGCGGCAGGGCTGCGCCGGCACGTGGGCATGCTGGGCGACACCACACCCAATCTAGCAGACCAGGTAAATTTATTGCGGGCCTGGCTGACCCTGTATCAGTCCACAGTCCTCCCCGACTGCCTGGCACGGGCGATTGAAATCGCCGAGACGGCGGAGCGATTGTTCGGCGCACCGGACGGTGGCTGCTACGACACCACGCCACCCCAGTCCTTCGAAGCGGGGCTCCTTACCCGGGAGCAGCCCGTGCTGGACAACAGTCACTGGGCGGAAGCGCTGCTGAACCTGCATCAACTGACCGGCGACGAAGCTTACGCCGACCGGGCTGCTGCCGCCTTGAGAATTTTCGAGCCCGTTGTTCCTGGCAAGAGCTATCTGGGCAGTCATTCCTCCCGACGCATGGAGGAGGATGAGGAAGCCCTGTTTCTGCCGGCGGGCGCGGTGTGGGGACGGGCATGGGACCTGCTGACCCACGGGCCGGTGCGCCTGGTATTGGTAGGGGATTCTTCAAGTCAGACCTATCGCCGCCTGCACCGCGCGGCTTTAAAGACTTATGCTCCCCACCGGGTGGTGCAGCCGCTGGACTCGAAGCGGGATGCCAAGCAGATCCGAGGACTGGGATTTCCGCTACAAGCAGGGGCTTCGCTGTACGCCTGCATGGGAGACCGCTGCCTGGCGCCCATCACCACACCCGAGGGCGTACGGGAAATGGCCCGTTCTCGCCCCTGGGCCAACGGGTGACCTGATTCCCGTCAGCCGGCTAACGGAACCCTTCCGGTTGTACAATACCCTGAACGTTCGCGGTGCCAATTAGCAGTGGCCAAGCATTGCACGTCGTTGTCGACCATAGACAGCGAAGAAAAAGAGAGACCTTTCCCAATCTGCCACCCACAGGAGAACGCCTATCATGAACCGCCAGAACACCGCACCCAAAGAACAACTGGCCTCCAACTCCAACTCGGCCATTGAGTCCTCGAAACAGGCGCTGTTCGACCTGTCGAGGGACGTCCACTCGCATCCGGAGCTGAACTATGAGGAATATTATTCATCCAAAGCCCTGGCCGGGTTCCTGGAAGGGCATAGCCTTCAGGTGGAACGGGGAATCGGCGGTGTGGAAACGGCGTTCAGCGCCACAATAGAAGGGGGCGCCGGCGAAGGGCCGACAATCGCTGTGCTGGCGGAATACGACGCGTTACCCGAGATTGGCCACGGTTGCGGACACAATCTCATCGCCATGGCAGCCATGGGCGCCGCGCTTGGTCTGCAGGCGAACGTACCGGAGTTGCCAGGCCGCGTGATGGTCATAGGAACTCCCGCCGAGGAGGGTGGCGGCGGCAAGATACGCCTGTTGGAAGCGGGCGTATTCGACGGCGTGGACGTCACCCTTTCGTCCCACCCATTCTCCAACCGCACGCTAATACCGGCGGCGGCGCCGAAGGGAGAAAGCTGGAGCCTGGCCATGGTTGGCTACCGGTACATGTATCATGGCAAGGCCGCTCACGCCGCGGCGGCCCCCGAGGCGGGCATCAACGCATTGAACGCGGTTATCCACCTGTTCACCGGAATCGATGCCCTGCGACAGCACCTGAGGGACGACGTCCGTATCCACGGGGTAATCACCGACGGGGGCCTGGCGCCCAACGTGGTGCCGGAGTTCGCCGCCGCCAACTTCATGCTGCGGAGCCGGGACGGGCGCTACCTGAGCGACGTGGTGGTGGGCAAGGTGGCACAAATAGCGGAGGGGGCGGCAGCCATGACCGGCGCTCGCCTTGAGGTCCAGGAATTCTATCCCTTCTACGAGAACGTTCAACCCAACGTGGCCCTCGCCCAGGCAGTGGGATCCAATGCCCGTGCGCTGGGATTCAAGCTGGACGAACCGGTGGCGGGCCGCCCGGGCAGCGGGGCGTCCACCGATTTCGGTAACGTCAGCCAGGTAATGCCCGCCTTTGAGCTGAGGTACGCCGTAAGCGAGGAACCGGTAGCTTCCCACACCAGGGAGATGTGTGCGACCGCCATTACCGATTTGGCCCTTTCCAACGCATTGCTGGTAGCCAAGACGCTGAGCCTGACGGCAAGCGACCTGCTGCGCGACGCCGCGCTGGTGGAGGCCGCGAAGGTCGAGTTCGGAGACCGAAGCAACTGACGACTGCGTCGTAACTGACACGACCCTCGAGCGCAGTACGGCTAGTCTTCTACCTCGACGATCATCTCAATCTCTATCGGCATACCGCCGGGCAGAGTAGCCATGCCGACCGCGGAACGAGCGTGGCGGCCCCGGTCTCCGTAGAGGCTAATCAGCAGATCAGATGCGCCGTTGGCCACCCTGGGCGTGTCGCCGAAGTCCGGTGCGGAGTTGACCATGCAAAGCAGCTTGACGACCCTCCTCACCTTATCCAGGTCGCCAATCTCTCCCTTCAAATTGGTGAGCAGGTTTAGCATGGTCTGCCGTGCGCAGTCGTAGCCCTGCTCCACGGTAACTTCCGAACCCAGCTTGCCCCGGTGCAACAGACCGCCCCCAGGCAGGCCCGGGCCAGTGCCGGAAAGGAAGACCAGGTTTCCGGTTCGGACCGAGGGGATGATATTGCCGGCCCCGGGCGTCCGGGGCGGGGGAAGCTCGTAGCCCAGTTCATTCAGCTTGTTTTCAATTTCCGGCATGAAACCGCTCCTCCTGATTCGTTGTGTGGCTGAGTTGAAATGTGGGTTGAAACCAGGATCCGTTCTGCCTCTGCGCCAACAATACCCTGCCAGCCATTGCCATTTACCGGCTGATTGACGGAGTGCCTGACGGCTGTGACCGGTTCTATAGCGAGATATGCATGAGCTCTTCGGAGAATACTATCTCGCCATCGTAGATCCGGCTGATGTCGCCGATGCCCTGCTCCATCGGGCCGTGGCCTGAGAGGTGGGGGCCTACGTGAACCAGCACCAATTTCTTCACGCCGGCGGCCTGGGCCATGCGGGCCGCACCGGTGGTGCCGCACTGGCCGGTGTATTCCCCGTTGGCGTCCATCACCGCCTGGTCGTCCCAGCACATGCAAAGCATCATGTCGGCGCCGCGAGCCAGTTCAGTCACCGAGTCGCAGGGCTGAGTGTCGCCGGTGAATATCACGCTTCCTTCGGCTGAGTCCACCCGGTAGGCCAGGGAGTCGAGCCAGGGCTGGACGTGCTCGGCGGGAGCGGCGGTTACCTCCCAATCCGACCCGCTGAATACCCTGCCCGGCCCGACGTCCTGGGCCGCAACCGATGGGGCCGGGCGCGGAAGAGTGCCGCCGCGATTGACGAAGACCTGCTGGCTGAGGGGGTGGTTAACCCGGGCCTTCCAGTCGTGGGCGAACAGACCGTTTTCGCCGAGGATGCCCTCGGTTATTTTCTCGGTCAGGTCGGGGCCGAAGACCTGGAGCTGGTTCTCCTTGCCGATGCTCTGGTCCCAGCGGCAGAGGAGAAAGCAGGGATAGTCGATGTCGTGGTCGAAGTGGTGGTGGGTGAAGAAGAGGTAATCAACCTGCGTGGGGAATAGTCCGGCCTTGACCAGCTTGTGAGTAGTGGCCGGCCCGCAGTCGAACATCAGGAGTTGGTCGCCGAGCTTGAGCACGTGAGAACTTCCGAAGCGGGTAGGAGTGGGAGTGGGCGTTCCGGCGCCCAGGGTGTAAATTTCGGCCATATTAGTCCTCGCAATTGAGAGAGTGAAAGAGGGGAAGCGGGTTGGTACAATCCCCATGCAAAGTTGTTAACTCTTATGGGAACGGACGAAAGCGATGGCGTCGGCGGTCTGTTGAGGGTGGAGGAAATCTAGAATTACGTGGCTCCCTATAATTCTAGGGCCTTTGCCAGTTTTTCCAAGGTAGAGTCAATTTTATTGGCGGAACGGCGGGCAAGCTCATAAAGACGCGATAGTTGGATCTCCTGTTCCGCGCTCGTATCTCGGAAATCGAAGGAGCCGGCAACCTCTCCTAATTCATCAATTATGTCGAGGCGATACTGCGACTTACCCCAATTACCATCATATTCTCCGATCACAAGGGAGATTGCATCAACAGACGTTACGAACCGGTCGTCCTGAACGCTTCTAGTCCACTTCAAATTGCCTTCGTCCGTTCGCCGAATTAGCCCTGTCAGGATTTGACCCAACTCGATCATGTTGCTTCTCCTTGGGATTCACCGAATCCCATTTTACTGGCCAATTCTTCCAAATCACTTTGGATGTCGTTCAGTACTCGGTTAAACAATGATTTGTCGCGATTGGAGACACCACCGCTACTATGGAGACGAACCGAGTTGTCCATTTCAGAGACGTAAGCCCTGGCTGTCGACAGTTTTTCGCGTTCTTCTCGCTGTTCTCCAGGGCAACGGACTATGACGTCCGAAAGCATCCTTCGCAATGTCTGGTAGTGCTGTCTAGCCGCCTCCCAACTTTCACTGTCGTGCAAGGTTTTGATTCTCTCTATCAGCCCAATGGCCCGCTGCAAATCCACGGCCTGCAAATGGCGGGCAACTTGGTCTCTGGTTTCGTAAGCCGCAACTTGCGCGGCTTGTGAAGCAGATTTTGCCCCGTGCGCTTCTTTGATGGCCCATCCTAGACCCACCAATGAGACGATGATCCCAATTACTGTTGCCACATCGCCCCAGTTGGTCGCCAAGTAGTCCATCATATTATGTAATTATATCCTTTCACAAAGCCGTTTACGATGCGGCCAACACGTGAATCAGCCAATACTCAATGCTAAGGATTTCGTCATTCCTCCTCAGGTGCCAACTCCAACAAGCGCATGCCACGGTCCACCTGTTGCCCCGGTTCTACTGCCACCCGCCTGACGACGCCGCTGCGGGGAACTGTGATTACCAACTCCATTTTCATGGACTCCATCACGATGACGGTCTGGTTTCGCTCCACATGGTCGCCCTCGAGGACCAGTACCTCCCAGGACCCCGCCAGGCATAGGGGCGAATACATCCCCTGGAGCCTCGTTAGCGGCGGCGTTGCCTCGTCGTCGAACCTCCGCTAGCTGGTACACGAACAGGTCGCCGTCCAGCCACAGATGCAGTTCAGGGCCTACCCAGGCCCAGGCAAATGGGTAAGTGCGGCCCGATTCGGTGCGGCATAACCCTTCTCCGGTTTGCTGGGACTCAATGCCAAGGGTGATTGAGGGTATGATGCCCGCCTGTATCTCTTCTTCCAATTCGAAGGTGAAGTAGCTATCCCGTTCTTCAATACGGTAGCGATAGGCTTCTCCCGACACCGGATAGACCTCCCGCATCTGCCCTTGTCCCTGACTTTGGCCCTGGGTCATGGCAGCCTCCGCTCCCCGGCGGACTGCCAGGGGTTGACGTTGGCTTGGCCGTCTGTCCCGACTGTCGGCGACGCCGGACCGGACGGCTGACGCGATGCCCACGCCGCCACCGCCCGTACCATCGTGCGGGTTTCGTCGGAAATGGCCGGGCTGGTAACCGCCGGGTTCCACTCCAGGAAGCCGGTATCGTATTCGCCCCTCTGGAACTGGGGGTTCTTTACTACAGCCCGGAGCAAGGGAATGTTGGTCACCACGCCCAGGGCCAGGAACTGGGACAGGGCCACTTCCATCCGGCGCAGGCTGAGGTCCCGGTTCGGCGCCCACGCTATCAGCTTTGCCAGCATGGGGTCGTAGTAGATGGACACCTCCTGACCCTGGACCACGCCGCTGTCCAGCCGCAGCCCGGGGCCGCTGGGAGGCTGCCAGCGCAGCAACCTGCCGGCGGAGGGCACAAAGTCGTTGTAAGGGTCTTCGGCATAGATTCGGCACTCTATGGCATGGCCCCGGGGCTGGGTGTCTTCCTGCTGCAACGTCAAGGGTTCCCCGCGGGCGATACGGACCTGCCACTCCACCATGTCCAATCCAAAGGACGGCTTCGGTAATGGGGTGCTCCACCTGGAGGCGGGCGTTCATTTCCAGGAAGTAAAACTCGCCGTTCTGCGGGTCCAGCAGGAACTCCACGGTCCCGGCGTTGACGTATCCCGCCCCGCGAGCCACGGCGATGGCGGCGGCGCCCGTGCGGTCGCGCAACTCCGGCGTAAGAGCGGGAGAGGGAGTCTCTTCAATAAGCTTCTGGTGGCGGCGCTGGATGCTGCATTCCCGCTCACCTAGGTGGATGGTATGGCCTAACTTATCGGCCAGCACCTGTATTTCCACGTGGCGGGGATTGGCAATGTAACGCTCCAGGAAAACCCGCCCATCGCCAAAGGCAGCCTGCGCCTCCCGGCTGGCCGACTCCATAGCCACGTCCAACTCTTGACGCCGGTACACCAGGCGCATGCCACGACCACCACCGCCGGCGGCAGCCTTGACCAGCAAGGGAAACCCCCAGAGTTCCACAAACTCCCCGGATTCAGAATCGCCCGGGAGGCACACGGGAGAACTGGGGACTACCGGAACCCCGGCGCCAAGAGCAATTTCCTTGGAATGCAGTTTGTCTCCCAGGGCCTCCATGCTTTCCGGAGTGGGCCCGATAAAGGTTAGCTGCGCTTCCTGGCAGGCCCGGGCGAAGTCCGGATTCTCCGAAAGAAAGCCGTAGCCTGGGTGTATCGCATTCGCCCCACAGGCACGGGCGGCCTGCACTATTTTGGGGATGTTCAGGTAGGTCTCTTCGGCGGTGTTGCCCGACAGGGGCACGGACTGCTCCGCGGTATTCACATGAGGTGCGCCGGCATCCGGGTCGGAATAGACCGCGACGGGGGCGATCCCCAGCGCGCGGAGGGTTTGGTTGATCCGCACCGCGATTTCGCCTCGATTAGCTACCAGGACTTTGGAGAACATCAGCAAACATCCAGTGCGGGTCTTTTCAGGTGAGGCAGGAAGAGGCTGGGGTTCAGAATCGGAACACACCCCGCTTTTGTTCAGGGAAGGGGGCGTTCAGGGAGGCGGCGATTCCCAGGGCTACCACGGTCCGCGTGTCCACCGGGTCAATTATTCCGTCGTCCCACAGGCGGGCGGTACTGTAGTAGGGATCGCTCTCTGTTTCGTACTTTTCCAGGATGGGCCGTTGCAGGGCGTCCCGCTCCTCCTGCTCCATCGTCCGGCCCTGCCGCTCCAGTTGTTGCAGCCTTACCGATAGCAGCACCTCCGCCGCCTGCTGCCCGCCCATCACCGAAATGCGGGCGTTGGGCCAAGCCCACAGGAAGCGGGGCTGGTAAGCCCGCCCGCACATACCGTAATTTCCCGCCCCGAAGGAACTGCCGATGATTACGGTGAATTTGGGGACAGCGGCGTTGGAAACGGCCATGACCATTTTGGCGCCGTCCTTGGCAATACCCCCGGCCTCGTACTGTTTACCCACCATGAAGCCGGTGATGTTCTGCAGGAAAAGCAGGGGAATGCCCCGCTGGCTGCACAACTCTATGAAATGGGTGGCCTTCAGCGCGCTTTCGGAAAACAGGACCCCGTTATTGGCGACCACTCCCACCGGATACCCCCAGATGCGGGAAAAGCCGCAGACCAGCGTTTCCCCGTAACCGGCCTTGAACTCGTGGAACCGGCTTCCATCCACGATGCGGGCAATTACCTCACGGACGTCGTATTGACGCCGGTTGTCGGGGGACACTATCCCATAAAGCTCCGCAGGGTCGCTGGACGGCGGTTCCGGACTGGAGACCTGGAAGGGGAGATCACGCCGCCGCACGAAGTTCTCGACAATGTCCCGGGTGATGGCCAGGGCATCCTCGTCGTCCGCGGCCTGATGGTCGGCCACGCCGGATACCCGGGTATGCACGTCGGCGCCGCCCAGGGTTTCCGGGTCCACTTCCTCACCGGTGGCCGCCCGTACCAGCGGCGGCCCGCCGAGGAAGATAGTGCCCTGCTGACGCACCATCACCACCTCGTCGCTCATGGCCGGAATGTACGCGCCTCCAGCGGTGCACGAACCCATGACCACCGCCACCTGGGGAATGCCCAAGGCTGACATTTGGGCCTGGTTGTAGAAGATGCGCCCGAAGTGGTCGCGGTCAGGGAATACCTCCGCCTGCAGAGGCAGATAGGCGCCACCGGAGTCCACCAGGTAAATGCAAGGCAGGTGGTTTTCCTGGGCTATTTCCTGGGCGCGCAGGTGCTTCTTAACGGTAATCGGGTAGTAGGTGCCACCCTTGACGGTGGCGTCGTTGGCCACGATCACCACCTCTTTCCCGTGGACCACGCCGACGCCGGTCACTATTCCGGCGGAAGCTTCCTCGCCGTCATACATGTCCCAGGCGGCCAGGGGGCTCAGCTCAAGGAAAGGAGTGTTGGCGTCCACCAGCCTCTCAATCCTCTCCCTGACCAGCAGCTTGCCCCGGCTGCGGTGCAACTCCACCGCCCGCTCTCCGCCACCGGCCCGTACCCGAGCCAGCCGCTCTTTCAGGTCCCGTACCAGGGTCTCCATGCGGGACTGGTTGTCCCGAAAATTCGGATCGGAGGTCCGCAAGTTGGAACCGATTACTTCCATGCCATCCTCGGTGAATCGTTATCCAAGCCTGGCCCAGCCTCCATTATATCCTTCCCCATGAACCCTGTCAGAAACGGATCTCCACATCCCTGCGGGCAGTCTAGTCTTGAATCAATGTCATGCTGAGCGAAGTCGAAGCAACTAAAATCCTTGTCTAAGCGCTCGGCGAGGAGGCAGTAACCTTCTTAAAAGGAAGAATTTTAGACCCTTCGGCTGCTCTCAGGGAGACTTGAACGGGGCTCAGGTCGCCACCCAAGTAGGGCTGAGCAATAGCCTGAGTCATGACTTGATTACCTCGCACTTCGAGTCCCGTCCCGTGTTTGCGTCACGGGACTTTGGTAGACTGGCATAGCTAGGCAGCGGGACGCGTCGCAAACCGTACTCTTCTGCCGCGTGGACACCAAAATATTAAGGAGGAATCAATATGCCGTCTTTTTGGGAGAAGGTTGAGGTAGAAGGCCGAGAAATGGACCTGTACGCCAGCGTACCTTCCGGGGCCGGGCCCTTCCCGGCAGTTGTTGTGGCGCACCCCGCCAGCGGCGTAGGGGAGTTTACCCAAAGCATTGCCGATCGCCTGGCGGCTGAAGGGTACGCAGCGGTGGCGCCGAACCGTTTCCACCGTGTGACCGAGGAAATGCTGGCCAGCGGGAGCGCCGCCGGACAGTTCCTGAACGACCTGGAAACCATCGCCGACATGAACGCTACCGTGGATTTCCTGCGGAATCATCCGGCAATTGACGGTGAGCGAATCGGGATAATCGGATTCTGTTCCGGGGGGCGGATTGCCTGGCTTTCGGCGGCCACCAATCCCCACTTAAAGGCAGCGGTACCCTACTACGGAGGCAATATCATGGCCACCGTAGGCGAAGCCACCGGGTCACCCTTTGATCTGGCGGAGGGCATCAGTTGTCCCGTGCTCTTCCATTTTGGGGAAGTGGACACCAATCCCTCACAGGACGACATGCGAAGATTTGACGCCGAACTGACCAGGCTGGGTAAGGAGCATGACTTTAGGTCCTATCCGGGCGCCGGTCATGCATTCATGGACCAAAGCCAGGCCGCCAGGTACCACGAGGCGGCGGCCCAAGCTTCGTGGCCGGTTACGGTGGAGTTCTTCGCTACCCACCTGAAGGTCTAAAGTCCAGGGGCCACGTCCGGCTGAGCAGAACGTCTTCTACCATGTCGCAGAGTGGTGATTCATGGACCGGGCTTTTCCGCCTGACGTACAGGGGCAGTTAACAATCTCGCAATCACAATCGAGGGTTAGGGCCAGCCGCCTGCAACAACTAACGGCGCAAGCATGGAAGACGGCTGGCCAAGGCCAAACAAGTCAGGTGTGAGATACATTCTCTTCGACCTTGCCGGTTACCAGGGCGCTTCGACAGGTTCAGGATGGGCGGTTTCCAAATATCGAACCTCCCGTGGTGAAGTTGTCGAACCACGCCATGGGATAGTTGCTAAAGGTTCTGTACCAGGTTGTCCGGCGCCCGGCACAGAATAGCTACCATTTCCTCGTCGTAGGGATTCTCCTCGATATGCGGGGTATGCGCTGGCACGAAGAGGAAGTCGCCAGGCCCGGCCTCAATCCATTCCTCGAAATTCTCGCCGAACAGCACCCGCACATGTCCCTCAAGCACGTAGGCCGCAGTCTCTGCCTCCAGGTGGGTGTGCGGAGGGCCCTTTTCGCGGGGCGCTGCCGTGACCTTACCCATCCAGATCTTGGTGGTGTCGCCCTTGTCCGGCATGACGGCCGGCTGACGCACCATTCCGGGCGTCTGGGCAGTTTCCGTAGCGTCGCCCACCGCATGCACCACGTATGGCTTGAGAGTACTCTGTTTTTCCTTTGCCTGCATAGCCTTTACTCCTTGTCACCTTCTTTGGAAACCAATCTGGTTGCGCGGGGCAGAACTCACGCTGACCGTTGTTGCCGTACCGGATACGGGAGCCGCGCTACCCATGATACAGCCTGGGAACTAGTCTGAACATCCGAGCATCATTCGAGGACTTGGGGCAATCGGGCAGTGTAGCTTCAAGTGATCAATGCCTGCGTTCTATGCCTGGCCGCCATAGATGATTATGTACGAACTGAGCCAAAAACTCGACTCGGTAATGGGTTCTCAATTACAATTTACAGACGGGTTGTGGGACTTGCTCCAACAACCCCTTGTTCCGGATGCGGAGAGGTGGCCGAGTGGTTGAAGGCGCCGGTCTCGAAAACCGGTATATCCGTAAGGGTATCGCGGGTTCGAATCCCGCCCTCTCCGCCAGTTTGTTTTCCGCCAATGTCCTGCAATGCCCCGTAACGTCCCGATTCGTATTTGTGAAGAAGCCGTCACCCCCTTGTCTCTTCCCGTGACTTCCGGAAAAGTACTGTCAAAGCCCAAATGGCGTGTGGGAGAAGAGTGGGCATGGCTAAACTTACCGCACTCCAGGTCAAGTCAGTCAGCGACCCGGGCCGGCATGGCGACGGCGACGGCCTCTACCTGAACGTGGCTCCCTCCGACTCCAAGTCCTGGGGTCCAGCGAATCGTCATTGAAGGTCGGCGCCGGGATATCGGTCTGGGTTCCTTTCCCACCGTCAGTCTGGCCCAGGCCAGGGGAATGGCGGCTTCCAGCCGGGCGGCTGTCGCCGACGGGCGGAACCCGCTGGCCGAGAAACGCGAGGCAAGAGCGGCAGCCCAGCAGGGCGCTCCCTCCGTGCCGACCTTTGCCCAGGCTGCTCTCCAGGTCATTGAACTGCGCCGCCCCACCTGAAGCAATCCCAAGCACGCTGCCCAGTGGACAGCTACCCTGAAGACCTACGCCTTCCCGCTCTTAGGGGATATGGCCGTAGACTCGATAACAGCTGCCGACGCCCTGGCGGTGCTGGAACCCGTCTGGACCGCGAAGCCTGAGACGGCCAGCCGGGTGAGGCAGCGGATGGAAACGGTACTGGACTGGGCGGTAAGCCACGGCTACCGGCTGGACAACCCGGCCGGGCGGTCCTTGCTTAAGGTTCTGCCGGCTGCCAGGAGACTAAAACAACACCATCCGTCGTGCCCTATGAGCAGGTGCCAGCGGCGTTGGACCTGGCGAGGCAGTCGAGTGCCAGTCTGAGGACCAAGCTGGCCTTCGAGTTCCTGGTGCTGACGGCGGCCCGGTCTGGAGAGGTGAGGCAGGCGGAATGGTGTGAAATAGATTGGACCAAGCAGAGTTGGGACGTTCCGGCCCTTCGGATGAAGGCGCGCCGTTCGCACCGTGTGCCGCTGTCAACCAGATCGGTTGAGGTGCTGCAGTCCGCCTGGGAGACAAGCGGCCCCGAAGGTTTGATATTTCCCGCTGGACCCGGCGACAGGACGGCGTCGGACATGACTTTTACGGCGCTGTTGCGGCGGCTGGATATCCCCGCCGTTCCCCACGGGTTTCGCAGTTCCTTCCGCAACTGGGTTGAGGAGTGCACCGAGACACCCTGGTCGGTGGCCGAATCAGCCCTGGCGCACAACATTGGCAATGCCACTCAGGCCGCCTACATGACCTCCGACCTGTTTGAGCAGCGTCGGGAGTTGATGGAGCGGTGGGCCCGGTTCGTAGCCGGGAATTGCGGGCAAGAGAATATGTAGCTACGGTGGCCTCGCGGGATATTTCAAAATGGGGCGTTGACGCAGATTGCAGCGAAGAAGGCAAAACGTTGAGTGCCTAGTATTCAA